GCAAGCCGGAAAATGGGGCGGAGGGAGACAATGAATTCTGAGTGATCTTAATGGAGGAAGGGACATGGAGGGAGGTTGGTATATATATTAAATTTTGGTAGCCAGCCCATAATATATAAATACTATTCTCCATATTTAAATAGGTATTAATTTATCATTGGCATTTAGACCCTGTGGAGGGACATAAATGGCATGTTTTGACTATTTGTGGCGGACGTAAAGCCTTGCGAAAACCAGAATTTTCTGACACCCCCCTGAAAAATAGTAGCAAAAACACCGCAGAAATAACCAAAAATATCCACGTATCTCTAAAAATCATTCAAATATCATCCAATCCATTCAAATACGCACCTTTATCATCAAATCTGCCAATATGCCCTCCCAGCTCAGCGAATTTACCACCAATGAGATCGTACGCCTTCTAAACGATGGTTATATGCCTGCTCAGATTGCGCGGACCATTGAGTGCCATCTGGCCACTGTATATCGAATCCAACGAAATATTCGCTGCTTTGGAACTGCTAGAAGTCCTCATTCAACATGGGGTGTAAAGCCAAAGATCACACCGGATATCTTGTCAGGTTTGGAGGACTTTTTTGAGGCATATCCAACTGCATATCGCGATGAGGCTGTCTGCTTTGTGAAGGATGAATTTGATGTTGATATCCACCCTCATTCTTACCTCCATATTCTCCTGATTATAATCCTATAGAGGAGTCATTTCACGCGTTGAAAGAATGGATTAGAAGATACAGATGTCAGTTAGAGAATCAGTTTGATGGGGATTTTGAAGCCTTCTTGCATCATGCAGTTGAGAATTTCATGGGAGAAGAAGATGCAAGAGGATATTTCAGATCTGCTCATATAGGATAGTATTGTAAAATTTAAAAAGATTCAGATTGCAATTCAATTATGATGATATATAATATCTAAGTTTCAAATTCAGAAGCAGAAGCAGTATGAGGTCTGCTGTCATCATTACAAACAGCAGATAAAGACAATTTAATCTCCTTCAACTGTGACTGCCAGATAGGACTCTTTAACCCATTTCTTATTATCGAGAATATACCCATTCCAATATTCAACTGAACCACCTGCTCATTTGTCATTGTCCGTATATGATCCAGTTCAAATCCTTCATTCTGAATAATGCTCTTTGCAGTTAAAAGAGCTTCTGCTCTTCGAGGTCTCTCTCTGTCATCAACCAGTTGAAGAACTCATCAATAAACAGATCCGCGTGTTCACCAAACTGAGGGATTGGACTATTTCGAATAGGAGGCAGGTTCGGATTCGATGGCAGGTTCGGATTCGACGGCAGGTTGGGATTCGATGGCAAGTTTGAATTCGATGACAAGTTTGAATTCAGTCCTCCCATGCCTCCCATTCCTTCCATAATATATTTCATCACCATCACATTGATTATCTCACTTGGAGACACAATATTAGATGAAGAAGGAGTTGAGGGAGGAAATATAACTGCTGGCATCTGAGGTGTCTGTATAGAAGGATTAGAAGCAGAGATAGATTCGCTTTTTTGTTCCTTCTTCTCCTTTCTATTCATTAATCTTTTTGTCATCTTTCTTGAGGGATTTTTAACTGTTGCATGTCCACGTTCAACATCATCTATCCAACTGGCAATCTCACTACTCAGGAGTTGAATATGAGTATCATCAAAAGCTATCCAACAAGCTGCCCATGGTCAAAGTTATGACAATTCATCTTTTGACAACGCCCTATGTAGGACTTATCTCACGCCCAATCCGCAAAGAATCATG